AAATTCATATGTATATATTGCATCTGCTAGGTAGACAGACCATGAGGCATCTAATCTGGTAAAGAAAATTTGAAAGAAGTGTGACTCTTTGTATTCTACCATTTTTACAGTAATGAACAGGTTATATGATATAACTGAGACAGATGGCAAGAAAGGTTTCTAGCAGAGCTCACAACAAACAGCCAACATGAAAATATGCCGTGGGTACTCTTCACCAGAATTATTTGCCTTCTTTCTGCTTCCCTCTAAGTGCTACATGACCACCTGCTCTGTCTTCTCTTAAAATGGATCACTTAGAACACTGGCATATGTGTGCAAATTAATGTAGCTGAATAATTTATCACAATTCATGGATGTCAAATTAGGTGATTTAATATTTTCTGGAGTTTAGGGCTAGCGTGCTTTTATCTGTTGGGCAGTGCTATGCACAATTCATTTATGAAGTCTCAGCATGTGCACCAAGGTTGCAGTTACAAAATAGTGCAATTCAGCTGTGTGTGCACCAATGAGGTGGAATTATGTCAGGGTGGTTTTTTGCTTTTATTTCCTGCTCTGGGCGCTCTAAACTCACTGTGGACAGGAAAGTCTTATTAGTTTATCTATGTAGGTGCATCAAGGACAGGCTACTGGCTTCTGAGCTGAGGGAAAACAAAAGATTAAATATTCAGATTATACATATTCTTTTACATCATGTCCTATATTCAGTGTTGATAGTTATCCAGCACATTTCATTCTAACACAGTCAAAGGATATATGAACTCACAATGTAAAAACAGTTTTAGAACTGTTCAAATTCCTTCAAAAGGAATTTTGAAGACAATGAATGCTTTTAGAAGAAACCTTTTAGGAGTGGGGCTGGTAGAAAAAAGAGCAGGGAGTGGAGGTCTTTGGCTTTTTGTTTGTCTTTTACCAGAGAGGAAAAATAACAGTGTCACCAGGACAAATATAGAATAAAAAATGGTGGTGGTTTTCCTTTTTTGGCTCTTTAAATATGTGTCTTTGTGCATCATCCATTAGGCAGGCAAAAAATGTTAATTAAAGACCTCTGAATTCTTAAGCAGTTGAGTAGATAATGTGCTGTTAAAGAAGATAGGAGATAACATAGTGTTGACTCAGTTTTCACTTGAATCTTCACATCCTGTGAAGCAGCAACAACCAGTCCTTACAGAGATTCAGCCCTGTGCTCCTGCCAGTGATATTTGCTACCTACCTGAAGCCTTTGTGACTCTTACATTACCTGTTCTGGCTTCTTGGGAGATAAAATCTGCAGAACAGTTATGTAACTGGGTATCCTAACATTTCCCTTAAACCTTAAAATCTGCATCACACATAAAACATTTTCTTTCTATTTAAAATAGTCTAAAATTGGCTATGATTTAAAATTAGTAGACCGTAGTATTCTGTCTTTATTATGATGTGAGGTTACTGACCCTTCAGTAACAGCCCTGCTGGGATTTCTGTAATGTTCTGATATGTGAAAAAGTCTTTGTTGTTGTTGTTTTCTTTTTGGCACCATGACTTTCAGAGTGAATTTCTTTTTATGATTATAAACACACACTATCTAAAAATCAATTCCAGTGTATGACTGAGATTATCTGATTGAAGGAAAATTAAGGCTAAAATTTATCTGAACACCCAAGACAGTCAACATTTGCTTCAGACAAATAGAACCCATCACCAAATCTTAGAATGCTAGAGGAAATTTGGTAAGAATGAAGAAATTCCTCTCTAACATTAAGGAAAGTTTTAAGAACACATAATTTAACTCAAGGATAGTGTGGAACAGTGAGCCCACTGATACTAGTAGAGTCTGGCTGATGCAGATTTACTCCAGTGATGATGTGAAGAATGTAGCAACAACCATCTTTGCAAACCTAGAATGGATTTTTGGTAGAGGATGGTGCTCAGAGACCATAATTCTGACCAGCTGTGTTGCAAAAGGTTGGTCTGAGGAGTGGGAGAGTGGAACACAGTAGCAGAAACTGCATCAAGGAACAAATACAATCCAAAGCCTTTTTGCTAATTTATGTAAAATTTATGAAAAATTTATTAAAAAATTTCAGTAAAAAGTCTAAGCAAGTGATCAAACAAATTAAGAATTCTGCTACCGTATTTTAAAAAAATCCAATAAACCCAAACTGTTTGAGCTTTTAATTTGAAATATTTCTCAATGCTCTTCAATTTTCAAGCACTAGACTAAACAAAGATTGCCAATTAGAAGACCAGTATGAAATAGTTTTGACTCCAAACATTTTTCCCATGCATGTTAGATTTTTGAACTCTAATAATGCCACAGTTTTGCATATTTTAGTACATAAATCAATCATTATGTAGCTGAATTTGAAACTTGAAGAGCTCACTTGAAAAAGACTGAGCTCAATAAGCATGTTTAAGCCTAATACTATTATGGGTTCTGATAAATAGAATTAAAACCTAAATCTCTGAGGTATTCTACAGCCTTCCTTTCAAAGGTTTCAAAATGCTTTTCTAACAACAGTAATAACATAATCCTAAAACACATTTGTGAGTTACTCGTCTACAGAAAAGGTCAATACTTGTCACAGCAAAGTAATTGACTTCCTCAAGGCCAGAGAGCAAAACTGCAGGAGAGGGAACAAAAGAAGCCATTCACTGCACCTTTGCCATCAGATGGGTCTGCCCATCAGGCTACATCCACAGCACTGGCCTGGGATAGCTAAAAGCAGTGTACAAAGGTTGCCAACTGGTCAACTCCCAGGGCTAGAGGTAGAAAATACTTCCAAATTTAGCCAAAGTGATGAAATGATGAGTGCTCCAGATGAGCACTTTGCAATTGTCCTTTATGACTCTGAGGTTATGATGAATATTCTTAAGCAAAATGTTCTGTTAACAACTACACCATCCTCTGGCACTTGGTCATTCTTGCTTATAATTCTGCTACCTATGTACAAAGACACAGTTCAGGAAGATTAATATTTTTCTGACTGATGAAGCCTCTTAAGTGTGAGGTCGGCGACCAGCTAGGACAGCCTGTTCATATCCATTACCCACACTATGCTGAGATGCGCAAGAATTAACCAGTCCTTTTACATGGACATTGAACAAATTCAAAGGCAACCCTAGCTGGGAAGAAAAGTAGCATACTAGCATGAATGAAGTAGAATCAAAGAAAACCCTTAAGTCTAAGAAATGGGAACAAGTAGGGATGATAGGTGACGTACTACATGGCAACATGAATAGGGATATTTATAAAATCTAGCTTAAACCTGCTGAAGCTAGTGAGCAAGGCACTTTTCTTAGCTAAAGGACAGATATAAATTCCTCTCCAGTGTGATTACTAGCATAAATTAAACTTAGCCATCATTATGAAGGAACTAAGGCAGTGTATCTTCCCTTTGCGAGTCTCATCCTTCACTTTATCGCTGCTACAGAGGTTATGTCATGGGGTTTTATTAACTTGTTTCCTTGGAGTCATGTTTGCATATTTCCACAGAAATGTCCTTGCTTGATCCCTCTGACATTTTACAGGAAAACACAAATATATGAAACAAGGAGCTCACAGCCTTCTTTCTCATAAGAGCTGCATGCCCCATTCTCAGAAGAATGAATTCAGCTGCAGCAGCCCAAGTGGAGCATCAGCAGCATTTCTCCATGCCAGCTTCCAAACTTAGGACTCTAGAGATTTTAACAGAACATTTGGACTAGAAATGATTAATTTACGATCATCATTTACCCTAAATTGGCAGGGAAGTGTGGAGAAAAAGTCAGCTCAGATTTATTATCCAGGTGATCTAAAAGCGTCGACAGCACCAAGATCTTGAGTTGGCAGGAGGGCTGCTCCTTCCAACAGGTTTGGAATTTCACCCTCTGATTTTGGGTTTGATGCTTGGAAGCATGCTAGTCAAAATATTTCTTTCTGTCTGTCCATGGTTAGGCAATACTAAAAGTTTTTAACGGTTCTTTTGAGAAATAAAAGTCTGGTAGGGAAAATAAATGAAAAAAGCTGGGATTATCGGTAGAGAGCTGATGGAAAATATGTCTTACCATGTCAACCAAAAAATACACGCTTTATAAATTATGACTGCCTAAAAATTGGAGACACCATACATGAGAATCTCCTTCAAGCAGCTTTTGAATTAATTTTTCTCTAACCCTGCAAGGTAGTATCATCTCAATATTCTAACAATTAAACACCCTTGTATCAAAGTGACTTTCCTGATCCTGCAATAAAATTACATGGGATGACCATCAGCAACCTGTTATAATGTTAATATATCAAATCCACTGCAGTTTGCTCTGTTACTGTATAAATAACAACTTGTCGCACAAAGAGAAGAAAAATATTAACACAAACAAAAAAAAAGGCACCTGAAAGTTAATTTCTCAATGTAAATACCAGACAAAATTATGATCCCAAAAATAAAGAAAGAAAACACAGTGTCTTATGGAGGAAGAATTTGGAGATACTTGTTGTTTACAGCAATATTTTGTCTTCTTATAAAAATCAGCTTGGAAACTCTTTTACTTCCAAAATAAAGAGCAATCCACATTACATGCTAAAATTACCTACGCTAGAACCAAGTGACTTAACAGAAAAGACACTATCTAGAATTTTTTTCTTACACAAGCTAAGAAAGCTTGCTAGGAGGTAAAAATGTAATGGGAAACAGCATATTCATTTTTTGTTGGATGGTTCTTTGGAGTAAACAAAACTCATCCTCATCTCTTTACAAAGGAAACCCCAAACAATCTTACCGCAATTTAGTGGGCGAGGTATTTAGCACAATGAAAAGAATTAATAAAAACATAATTTTAATTATTTATTAAGTGTGGTATCTCTTTAGGAACACAAAATTAACAACATAATATATATTTGGAAATCTGCATCTAATTTATTCAGCAATTTTGTGAAGAAAAACTTCCCGCATACTTGTTCAAAATATTAAATTAAGTGCCTTCTATACAAACATGTTTAAAGATTATCAGATAAAGGAATAACAGAAAAAAGCCTCAATACTCACATTTAGTTTTAAGCTGCTTCTCTTGGTAACTTGTGCGGCAAAATAAAGGAAGGAGTAATTACATGTCTTCACAGAAAAAAGCATTCATCAAGTCCAAAAGAAACAGAGCACTTTGCCAGAGCTATTTGAGGGTCCCATCAGAATTTGCCTGGATGGGGGAAGGCTGAGGGTCAGTTTGTTTCCCTTAGACCTCATGACATACAAATATCTGGCTGCCTCACCACTGAATCAAATCATTCTTTGACATACTGTGTTTACAAATTGCAAATACATACCATGTAGGAGGTTCTTAAAGGAACATATTTCTGAGAGTTCTCAAAAGGAAAAAGGCATTTCTGTTAAAAAACAACCATTCAGAGCAAGGGGAAAAAAGAAAGTAAGATGGAACATTATTCATCCCCAGATACACACTGGTTCATGCATAATGAATCCAAAAGGCCTCATGTGGGCTTGTAACTCAGAAAATTAAAAGAAAAGTTGCAATTACTAAAGTCTGATTGTTATATACAGGAAATGGGGGGCGGGGCAGGGAAAAAAAACTCCTCCAGTTTCAGGAAAGATGTTTAGGGACATGGCAGAACTCAGAAGTTCTGACACATCTCAAGCATTTTCTGGGCTGCTACAATTTGCTGCTTTCCAGCAGGTGGGAAGGAATTCACACAGGATTTCCATCAATGTGGCAGCAATGGACTCCTCTAGGCTCTCTCTCAGTATTTCCCAAGCCTGGATTTTGAGTCACAGTCACCTCCTTTACCTTCTGCTTAGACCCAACAGGGGCCAGCTCACAGACAGGCTCCTGCACATACACAGCATTCAGAGGTCCTTATACTTTGCATATGACTCTATGCAGACCCTTAATCAAATGAAGCTGAAAGTAAGGATATTGTGTCCATTTAAAATAGCAGGCAGGAGTTAGGCAGAGTAAAGAAAGGATGGCTGCTTGTGGTATGAACCACAACTGACCTCAAGGCAGATTTTTCCACAACCAAGAGCCAATAGATCTGAATCACTCGCTCTATAAGGTCAAGTGGGTGGGAGCTGTTTTGTATCAAAGATAGAAGGAAATGTTTGAATGGTTTAAATATGTATTATGTAATCTGTGTACTTTGGTAAAATTGCCAAATCTGGACATGTTCTGAAGGTTATCTATGTCTCACAATTAACACTGATCCTCTGACTACTATTGCCAAGACCTGATGATCTCTGCTTGTGGTCTTGTTAAACCTCTCCAGACACATAGCTATTACTTAGACAAGAGTGATCTCTTTCCTCCTATTGTAATTTCTGCTATAAGCTTTATTTATATCAAGCACCTTTCACCTGGGATTTTAGCAGATTGATGAGAGAGAGGAGTTAGATATGAATTTGCGTCTAGAATGAGAATCGTAAAGTTTTCTTTTGTCTTTCCTTCCAGAAAGAAAAAACCCTGATAGCATAGTTCTTAACCAAGTACCTTTTCAAGTTCATAAATCCAATGCAGACAGAAGTATTTCCAGAGCAGATCTGTTGAGAGAGCTAATGACACTTAGAAATACTAACACAATATGTTCTTGCTGTCAAGGACGAGAAGTTCAGACACATCCTACAGCACATCACTTTCCTTACGCTTCAAAGACTACCCTCAAATCTGTCTAAGCTGTAGATAGAGATAACAGCTGTATTAACAGAAGACAGGCCCAGAGAAACATCTGAAACAATCAGGTTTTTTTTCAACAGGTACAAGTACAAATGAGGAGGTCAGCAAAATCCTGTTGTTTCTTCTGACTACCAGCTAGATGATGTCTCTTGCAGCTCCTGTAACACTTCCTGAAATACAAAGAAGCTTATTTTATCTCTTTATCTCTTATTTTATTTTATCTCCCAGCACAACCTGTCTTGACCAACCTTTCTCTTCATGTTGAGAGTTTGGGAAATTCATCAAGCAAATGGTGGTCCTCTTTAAACTACTCAAGTTATTAGTTCCAATTTAGAATATTCATTTTTTAAAGAACAAAACCTCAAAGAGATAGCATTACTTAACAATTCCTAAAAGAAAGACCTTGTTTTCCTGACCAAATATCTTTGGCATTTACTGAATATGTTTTGTTATTTGGGCTAGCATAGAGTATCCATAATGAAGTAGAATTGTTCAAAACATTTGGGCAGCATGTATTTGGAGGCACTCAAAGGAGAAATACTACATGTTTTGTTCTTATATTCTTATATTCTTATATTCTTATATTCTCTAAGCACCCACTTTTGGCCTCTGCTGGAGACATAACACTGGTTACAGTGACCTTCAGTGTGACCCACCACAGTTACTATTCTGTCATCTGCAAGAGTACTAAACTTCCTATTAAACAACAAACATCAATCTACCAGATTTGTAGGTATTTCCATTTTCTTGGCCTACTGTTACTTACTAGGAAAAACATTCAGGGATCAACCACAGCTCGAGTAGCCTTACTCATGAGCCTACAGAAAACAGAACTACTATAGCTTTATCTGAACAAGCTCTCAGATGGATTCATGCAGACAACAAAGTCCAATGATATTATTTAGAAATCTGTGCCAAATTTTTTTAAGAAGCTGTGCAAAGAGAATTGAAAGTTCTAACAGAGCAACAATTTGCTTAATTCCAGCAGATCTGCAAGTAACCAACTACAAAAGTCATCCTTTGTCACTTAAAAAGAAGGAAAGGCAAGGCTGTTGTTGAGACAGGTATTATTCTACCTGTGGCTAATTCATCCACTCCAATCTGACAGTAGCAACGAACAAGGTTATGAGAATATTTTTAAGTGGTTGTGTATAGGCAAATACACGCATCTATGCATGTCAGTTCATGAGATGAAGTATATATACTTAATATACTTATATATACTTATACTATATATGAGTTTATGAGATGGTGTTTAGACACCATAGTCAAAGATGAGAGGCTGACATTAGCACTTAAAACCAGAGTAAAAGTGTTAATTTGTATACTTTGTAGTGACCTTCATTTTCCTAGATAATCCAAAGGGCATTTTTTTGTCATGTTTTGTGAACTGCACCTCTGATTTTTAAGACAAGATTACTTTTCTTTCCACATACATTCCTCCTAGGCAGAGGAAAAAAACCTGTGAATTAGCAAAATTCCTTTTCTTTCTCTTTCAGATGTTATACTTCTGTATCATAAACTAAAGACTGAATTTCCAAATCAAGAAAAATACCTGAGACACTTTTCCAGCCATGTCTCCTTGAATTCTGTTAGTAGCCAGAAGATATCGCTGAACTGTAGTGCTTCCATTGCATCTACTTCAAAGAATCCATTTTTTTAATCCTTATAACATAGGCTGGAATATAGCAAGTTCAACACATGATGAAATAAATTCTGTAGTAAGTTCATTATAATACCAGCATAAAACTGTATGAAACAAAAATACAGGAACACTCAGAACAGTGTGTTAAGTCTAACTGTGCATATTACCTATTGCTGTTTGAAAGCTGCAAACTGCAAGATGATCAAACACTGGTGAAGTCAAAAGAATGCTCTTCAAATACTTCATCATTTAATGTTATTAAAATAATTTCTCATTTGCATACAGAATTTCATATAGCATATTATTTACAAGAGAACTCAATGTCATATAAAATTGTTTACATTCATTATAGGAAATTATTAATTATTCTGGCTAAATAACACAAAATCAAACCTAGTCCCTGTATACAAACTATTTTTTAAAGTTCAACAACCTGAATATTTTCCACTTTTTATTTCTCACTGTCTTTTACTGTCAGCTGTTATAACCTCCCACCAAGGAAAGAGAAACAACTTATTTTGCTCGTGCCTTACAATTCCAAACTGTTCTTGCCTTATGGATGATAAAAGATCAGCATTGGCATGAACATTGTTAAACATGAATTACTGCCTTTTAAATATGTGCAAAACTCGATTGTTTACATTACCAAAATTATCCTAGTGATAGAACTCCATTTTTCACATTTTTGCACTGTCCTGAAGACATGAAGTACTGTTAATTTAAAAACAAGGCTGGCAAAAAACTTGACAGAAGCAATACTTCTGTCTACAAAGTTTATGTAGAAAAATCATGAACTAGTTATTTTCAAGGAACTCAGGATAAATGTTACAGCAAAAGTTCTCTCAAGAGCTGACAGAATGCGAACAAATGCTTCTATCTGCTATGGGAGCTGGACTAAGCACTCAATAAGTCAGCTGAATGAACACCTAGCATGTACTATATGGCAAGTGTAACAGGATTTATCTGCTCCCAAAATGCCAATGCAAAAGAGTGTCACCTCTTCTGAATGACAAGCTTTAAATGAACAGCTGTTTCAGACATTAGCAGCATACATCAGTAGTATGTGTGTGCTGATGTTCATGAACTTTCAGCACATTTTGAAACTTGTATTAGTAGTGGGTCACTTTCCTTAAGTTTGTCAATATCCACTTGTACTCAAAATGCTCTTACTGTTGCTGTCCAGTGAACAGAAACTGAAAACATCCAGTAATGATACCAGAGCAAAGATAGCCTTCACTGGTGTGTTATTAGGTATCAGAGTATGTTTCAAAATCAGTATATGACATTAAGATAGACAGGCTTATAAACACTTATATGCAATCCTTATCTCACTATAAATCCAAATCAAAGAAGTAAAACTATCAGCCTGTGTGTGTATGGAACAAAATACACTGTTATTCGATGAGCAATTTCTTGAGGTCTCACATGAGGATGCCAATTAAAACCCACTGGTTTCACACCTGAAGTGTCCACAACTGTGTTCTGCCACATCTACATTAATGTGTGTAATAAGTACACCGTAGTAGTAACAAAATTCCATTTGCCACCATCACCCAGCAACAGTGTTCCCTGGCTGTGATTTGAAAACTACTAGAGGCCAAATTTAAAGTCTGTCAAGCATTTTATGTCATCCCTTTTTTTCAGCATAAAAGAAAATAAACTCTGACTCTATCATGGAAGTGGATGCGCCGAGTAACAGTTTTATTCCTCTGTTACAGAAAATTTCCTAGGTCTGAAAACAAGATCTTTGATAGAGGTAGTGATTTCCTGGAGCTCTTTTCGAATGCTTTCTGCTCCTTCCTCCTCTTCCATGTTATCTTTTGTGTCACCATCTCCATGTTCAGTTTTCTTAGTTTGGCTGGTCAATTGTTTCACCACTAGTCCTTGGTACTTGACTATCAGTGAATGCTGATCCTGAAGGCAAAAAATGAGAACAAATCCAGGGGATGTCAATGTTACAGAGAAGGCAGACAGTCCTATAAATTAAGATGTAATTTTTTAAAAGCATTCTCCCATTCTTGGGCAAAGAGATTTAGTGATACAGAAATATATTTCTAATGAAGTATTTGACAACCTAAATTCTGAGAGACATTCAAAGAGGCAGAAAACTGAAAGTGCATCCATGCTGCAAAAATAGGAAAATTAACCACAGAAGCATGAAAGCAATGTAGTTAGTAAACATCATCAGTTTTGGCAGTATAAAATATAGAATTTCACTGTATTTGCTTTTGAAGTGGTACATCTTTCTTTAAAACTAGATTAGAAAAATTTAAAAAGCAACCATGCTCTAGCTCAGAGGAAAGACGTAAAAAAGTTCAGTTTTAAGAATCGTTAACATCCCCCAAGACAGAACTGTCTCTATGGTTAAGTCAAAGGACTAACAATAGATTAATTTTTAATTCAATAAAAAAAGAAAATTGATGATAGATACCTTAAAAAGTGAGTTTGCAATGCAGTACAGATAAGAGAAATTGTATATTCTGTACATAAAGTAATGTTTAGACATGAAACCAAATGGTGCCAGGTTTATGCAGCAAAAATAGTGTAAGGCACACCTTTCTGTCACAGAAAAAATGTAATTTCCCCTTAAAAAGCTACAGAAGACTACCTCTGGGATCTTGCCACTTAGGAAATTAATGATCTGTGGTACTGATCTTCCTGGTGCATGAAGCATGCAGTGAGTTGAAAACTGAAATAACAATACTGATGTCAGGTGCAGAACAAGAGCTGGGTCTTCTGTGACTTTGAGCTGTTCAATCAGAGCTTGTCTATGCTGAAACAGGACTTGCCTAAGGAACAAGAATATATTAAACAAAAATATGATTCTGTAATTCTCTTAAAGAGTAGTTGGTCACATATACTAAAACTTATTTAACATCCATTAATTTTAATTTTCATGTCAAATCATTTATATGGAATTCCAAAACATTAATTAAAAAACAAAACAAAAAAACCACCCAAATCCAACCAACCTAACAACAACAACAACAAAAACTATCACTGGCACAGCCCAGATTTTGAGAGACTCCTAGGGAATTTATACACTATATCACAGAAAGTAGTGAGCCAACAAAATCAGCTAAATGTGAATTCTCTTCTTTCTCCTTTTCCTATGGATTTAGAACTGCTTGACTTTCTATTTTTAAGTTAAGCACTTTGGAAAGAAGGACTGCCTCTTACACACTGAGTATGACTGCTCCCATATTAAGCATCCAGCATTTGTGCAGCAATATAGCCACATTTCATTCAATAAATAAAATTGAAGTACCTTTCCTTCTTTTTGTCTCCTTTTTTCACCATAATACCACAAATATCCACTGCAGAATCAAGGCACGAAAGAAAATCTTCTATACTCTATTAAAAAGAATATAAATATTTAATCTGTGTTTGCAGATTATAAAAAAGTTTAACTACTGTTCACAATTAATCACATAAAAGATGACTGTGAATACACTTGAAATAAACTACACAAAAAAAGAGAAAGTAACATGTATTTAGTAGAAATTACCTTTGTTTGTCCTACAACAGTTCATATACCTAAATACTAACCCAAACTGTGATTCATTAGTCTTGGAAATAAAATGAAAAAATAATGCATGTTCTACAATTATTTACAGATATACTTTTTATTGAGAAACACCTCAGGATGGCCTTTTGTATAAAAGAATTAATAAATAGCTCTCCTTGTGCCTACACTCTGCCCATGAAAAGCACACTGGATTCCACATGGCAGCAAAGAGCCAAAGGTCACTATCAGAATCATAATGTAAGATCACCTTATCACACACTTTCTCTCACTGCCTTAGACAAATACAAAAGATTATTCTGCCTTCATTCTTCACAGCAGCAGTGATCATATATTACACTATGTGTAATTAGCATTATACCAGCATTATTAGCATTCTATCAGCAAAACAGAAAATCTAAACTAGATTAACTTTACCTTGCCATTCAGAGAAGTATGCAGTTTAGTTAAAGGACCTTTGGTATCTTCTGGCAGTTTACCTAAAATCTTGATTCTACCCTGTATGGGACAAGAATGGAAATAATCTGTAATATTAATCATCTTTTTAGATGTAGGCATATTTCAGGTGAAGCAATTACTTATTGAACAAACATCACTGATCTACTTGAGACTGTTAGAAAGGAACTTTTATTTCTGTACCTCACTTGTGATTGTAGAGTAATTTTCTATTGTCATCATTGACTCAGATGCCAAGAAGTTGAAAACCAGATTTGTAATGTCTGTACACAGTGTCTTCAACAGGTGTTTGGCAAGGTTAGTCTGAGTATCATCTGTTAAAAGAAATAAGTGATTAAAGAGACTTATTATAGTTACCTGATCCCTGTGATATTATCACATCTCCTTCATCACTGTGGACTCTATCAACCATGAGTAGTATGAGAGTTATCTGGATATGTGAAAAGAAAGTCCCTCATTTGCTGTGACGTTCTTGTGGAACATTGTTCAGTGAAAAATGTGAACTTTCAGGTCTGTAAGAACATTTTAATGCATTGCTTGTAATTCAAAGATGTATCTGTATAAGCGGTAAACTACTCCCTGTACAATCCTCCTGAACCACTGCTACTGATCAAGTCAAGAGTATACAGAGGAAAATTCTGCAGGACAAGCAGTTAAATAGAGTAACAGCCATGTGACTTTAAGACTGAAATATTGGAATTTGGAAAAATTAAAAGAGGCTACAGAACATATGTTCAAGAACAAAGGCTAATTGGACGTAATACCATATACTCCAAAATACAGGAATATCAGGTTGTTTTGCTAGTGTTTCCCTCTGCTAGAAGATTTCCATGAGGAAAATTCTAGGAGAAAGCTAAATAAAGCAGAGAATCTTGGAAATGTCTACAGTATTTTCCTAACACTAACTTTTCTGCCACACCTTACAGAGTAACCCCCTACAAAATGAATCTGACAGACTATCCTCAAGCAGCAGCTACTTTCAGAATCAAACCTATGAGTTTCAAACAGCAGCTTCTTAGAATAAGGTGCCATTCAATTTTTTCATTAGTGGCACAACTGGGAGAATAAAGTGTGCTTATCAATATTTTCCTTTTTTTTTTTTTTTTACCTAGACAGTGAAAAATTGGAAGGAAGGCAAACACTTGTAAAAGAAAGACAAGAACACAGT